AAAACAATTATAGGCTGCTAACATATCAAAAATGAAAATGGCACAGGAAATGGTGAGTATTATATGTTGATAACAATGAATAAATCCTAACAAGTGCAGCAAATGGGAAATATTTAATATGTACAAAATGTTTACATCCAGTTCATGAGTAAAACTAGTCGATCTTAAAGAGATATTATCATTTTGGAGATTGGCAACAATTAAAAGTTGATTTTACTATACATTACATCAGGATGTAAGAGAAAAATTCGGTTGGTTTATGATCACCCACTTCATATTTGTCTGTCGAAAAGATATAAAATGAGTGATTATAAATATTATACATTCTATAGCCCAATGTTTAAATTGTTGAAATGTCTGTGTACATTGTGTGTTTTGTCCCTGGTTTGTTTTGGATATTTGTGTATGTGATGTGCGGTCCTCCTGCACTTACTTTAACAATTTATACAAATCAACAATCAGCCCAATGTTTAAATTGTTGAAATGTCTGTGTACATTGTGTGTTTTGTCCGTGGTTTGTTTTGTATATTTGTTTATGTGATGTGTGGTCCGCCTGCACTTACTTTAACAATTTATACAAATCAACAATCAGCCATAGACGTATATTAATGATCTTCCATATTATATAAATATGTATATTTATTTTACACATATTACAACAGACTGATATCTCATTTTAATTTCCACGTTTAATATATTTCATTATACATGTAATAGGACGGTGATATGTTAAATTTATTTGTCATATTTAATCGATTTAATGCATATTAAAATACTTAACTGATATATTAAACATACATTATAAATGCAAGAGCTAAATCTGCCTATTGCAGTCTTTCTTTAGGCCTGAAATGTTTTCTAAATTATTAATTAGACATTAATTAACTTATCGAGGCCATAATCAACTCTCGATGGCATCAGATTTCTCCGATATAAAATAGATTAGAACATTTCAGCCATATTTTGATTTAAGCTAAAAATGGAAGAGCGAGATTTAGCTTCGAACAACCAGTACGGTGGTTGAAATTATTGTACACGTCTTGTCAAACCTTCAAAGGCTAATATCTTCGCTCGCAATAGAGTACTTTGAATGACATTTTAAAATTATTCATTTTACATTATCAATTTTCGAACTATTATAGCAAGAATGGCTAGCTCTTTATCTAAATCTTACATAATGTATCTTTCAGTAACAAATCCGATAAATGTTTAAGTTGATTATTTATAACCGTTATGTTGTATATTAATATTTAAATTTGCAATTCATTTTGAGTGTCGATTCGGTTTGCGAAAGCACGGGATATACTTTTAGCCAGGCAACAGGAGTTCCTATAATCTATCTAGGATTTGCCCCCCCCCCCCTCCCGCCCTCTCTCTTTCGCTCGCAGAAAATAGATGTCTATATGGGTATATGGACCATATGTCGTGATAAAACCGGTAATAAAACTGGTTATTTAACTTTATAGATTTGTATATCTGTAAGTCACGCTTTGTTACCTGGCAACATTTTATAACCTGAATAATCACAACCCAAGCAGTTTATTTTAAAAATCATCCCGAAAACCATCGTGTACTTTAGAAACCATAGCGTTCTATGGTTAGCACGTGCGCGCTGTATCATAAGGTTTGTCATTGAGTCACCTGGCGTGGTTTCGATTCGCCGGTTGTATGTGACAAAGAGTAGGTATCGCCTGTCCATCCTAGTGGGTCTTCTCCGGGTCCTCCGGTTTCCTCCCACTGCTAAAGACCCCTACGCGCAAGCGAATTATTGAAATAAATTTGAACCGTATGTTAGTTCCGAAATGACCTAGTTTGTGTCAAGTGGACGTTAAATCCATCTATCTCTCTCTTTCTCTCCCGCTCTCTGTCTCTCTCTGTCTCTCTCTCTCTCTCTCTCACACACACTATAGACTAGTAACTGAGTATGACGTCAATACAGCCATCTGGAAAGTCCGTCCATTGATGCACGATTGTCCAAAGAACAAGCATGCCGAGTTTCATGTTGATCGCACAAGAATTGGCTGAATCGCCCCCAAGAACAACAACAATACGAGTAGCGGTTGGGGTCCAGTTCCTGGTTCCAAAATGTAAATTGTGCCGCTGAAGCCCTGATTAATCACTAATCAAACAAACTTAAAGCAGAAAATGTCAAAATGTGTGAACAGTCTAACTGTATCCCCAGCCTCACGCCTATGGAACTTTATACGGACAAACACAGTTTTGGCAAAATACCTACCAAATCAGGTCGAAAGTCATCAGGTTTAGTCATTGTCTCTTTGATGCACCCCTGTGGATATGGAATATATCAACTAAATTTTTCCAGACAAAGGCACCAAGCATTTATTTGAAATCTATTACAATAATTTATAAATGGAATGAGGTTTAACTCCATGCAAGGGGGGGGGGGGCGAATGGTTAGCACGTGCGCGCTCCATCATGAGGTCTGTCATTGAGTCAACTGGTGTGGTTTCGATTCCCAGGTTGTACGTGACAAAGAGCAGGGGCGCCTGTCCAACCTCGTGGGTTTTCTCCGGGTCCCCCAGTTTCCTCCCACTGCCAAAGACCCCTACGCGCAAGCGAATTATTAAAATAAAATCGAACCATATGTTAATCCCGAAATGACCCGGTTTGTGTTGAGTGGACTTCAAACCCCATTTCTCTCTCTCTTTCTCTCTCAAACTCCATGTAGTATCCGTTGATGTTACCTGGACATCGGCGTTTCCGCCCGAGCGAGTAGGCCTATACACTGTTCCTTGACAGGCCATATGTCATGCACCACTGGCGCCGAAAATGAAGCTTAATTTCAAAGCCAACACCGTGATCACACACGGACCCGTCGTGGCTCCCAGTATAGTTTAGATGTAGAAGAAAGGTACAACTAAACTCCTGTAACTGGAATAATGATTTGAACCTGGGTTGATCTGGAAGATAACCACTTATATATAAAGCACAGTCACTAACCCAGTAATGTCTGCATCTGTCTATTTAAGATTCCCGTATGATGAATTTCAATGGTTATTACAAGCCAATCCAAGAAAACGGTTGACGATTATCCAGCACTTTGTTATTAACCTCTATATCGAAACTCTGAAAAATATGCCATTTTAGGAAAGTAAGAGCTGTCATTTTGAATTTTGACCATCTATGATTATGCAAACTCTTTTGTTTGGTTAAGTTCAGTGGCACAGAAGTACATATAACGAACATATTACAAGTCATTTCAAAAGGGCAAATGATAATATCCGAAAAATCGGCCATTTTGAGGAAATTTCCTCCATTCTTGTTTTTTCAAAATTCACTATTTGTATACAATTATCGAATTCGCCGAGAACAAAAACTATTTAATTGACATATTGCAAGACATATCTTACGCGATATTCAACCATCTAATCATTTTTCGTCAAATTCGTAGCTGTCATTTTGAAAAGATGAACGGCACAAAATGAAAAATCCATTTTAAAAGTTTTGTTTTTCCAAATTTGTTTCTTTCAGCTTTCTTCATTTTCGGATTCCGTGGTGTCACATTCCTATACATGGGGTGTAAAACTCACCGGAAACTTCCTGGTGACCGCCATATTGAATATTTTAATCACAGTATTCCGCGGTGCCCGACTTCGGCCGAATTCTCGTATGATGTTGTCATATATATGTGTGATTGAACCAAACTGGATTGATTTCTTTTGCAATTTGTTTTGGGTAAAAAGTTATCCCTCTGTGGCGTGCAGAGGTTGGGCCATGCCCGGGGCCAACTCCTTCAGTGTATGCACCAAAGACTCGAGTATAGAGCTATGCAAGTACTAGTACTTAGAAATGTGAAAAAGAAAAACATTTTCAAATTTCGATTAAATTTAATTCGATGTCCACCTGAAATGGGTGTCCCTGGGCGACCACCCACTCTAAGCCTATCTCTGCACGCCCGTGTCGATGATGCTGTTTAAGAAAATGGGTGGATGGTAGGATATTAGTGAAATGAGACCGGGTAGCTTTTTTCTGGATGAGTTTTGAGAGGGTCATCTGGAAATCGAAACAATGGGTATTGTGGATCGGAGAATTGTAATTACATCACGTTATGGTGGCTGATTGGTGTCATGTCCTGATTTCGTGGTGTCGCCCTTCCTAAGGCGACAACCCGACAACCCGACATCATGACATCACGACAACCCGACATCACGACATCACGACATTTTTAACCCGGCACTACGACATTTTCACCCGACACCACGACATTAAGAATATCGTAATGTCGCGTAAAAATGTCGTATTGTCGCGTAAAAATGTCGTGATGTCGGGTTGTCGTGGTGTCGTGACGTCGGGTTATAATGTCGTGATGTCGGGTTGTCGGGTTGTCGCCTTATGAAGGGCGACCCGACGACATCACGACATGATGCCAATCAGCCACCATTTCACGTAGTACATAAAGTTATCAAGAGTCGGAATACTCTAGGACCCAACTAAAAATTCAACCCTTAAAAGATTTGACGACCGTTTAAAACTTACTTATTTACTTCACAGACCTAACTCGGTTTTAATTTGCACTGCGAAGAAAGGGATAAATCTATTTAAGGCCAGCTTAATTTTTGTCACGGTCGCTGAGATGCAAATTGGGTCAGGGCACGTGATTGTTGCCGAGATTGTAGGTTAGGTTTAAGAATTTTTTTTTTTTTTTGGGGGGGGGGGGGGAATAAGTCTCCACATAAGCACTGACCTATTATGATAAAAATTTGGTTCATGATACTTCCTAGTTTTATTAAAAATACATGCAATACACCAGGGTTGGATTTAGAGCTAGGGATTCTCATAACTAGTTGATTTTAATTGCTAAGGGTTAGGGCTACGGTAGATATGTTGTTTGATTTGGGTTAGGGTGAGTACTGGTGTTATTTAGTTTAATTTGTTAAGCACTAGGATTGCCTTATCATTTAGCACCATCGGAACCTCGATCCGCCTCTGAAGGGGGGGGGGGGGGTGATGGCTGAATGGTTAGCGTGCGCGCGCTGTATCATAAAGTCTGTCATTGAGTCGACTGGCGTGGTTTCGAATCCCCGGTTGTACATGACAAGGAGTAGGGTCGCCTGTCCAACCTCGTGGATTTTCTCCGGGTCCTCCGGTTTCCTCCCACTGCTAAAGACCCCTACGCACAAGCGAATTATTGAAATAAAATTAAACCATATATTAGTCCCGAAATGACCTAGTTTGTGTCGAGTGGACGTTAAACCCCATTTCTCTCTCTCTCTCTCTCTCTCTCCGCCTCTGAAGTTATCTGATTTGGCCCAGCTGTTACTTTGAAGTTGTGTCATCACGACGTTCACTCTTTTAGGGGCGTGTTTGTGCAATGACTGGCCACGCCTTGTGGCAGTTTGGAAACGATATAAAAGACCAATAAGAATTGTATCTGATATTCCTGAAATCGTAACTGATCAAAGAATACTAAAAATGAAGGTTTTTGCAGTTTTAGTTCTGGCTGTTGTGGTTTACAACCATGAAGGTATGTCTCAGTTAACATTCTAAAGTTAAACTTCGCACATTTATTGTTGTGTATTGATTGTGCATTGTTCTCATATTTAAGATTTGGGTAACGGAAGCTCTATTCGGGACTGCGGTAAATTTTGAGGTAATGTTCCCGGTATTGTTACCTATCCCGACTCTTAATCCGAAACCTTAGGATGTGCAACGCGGCGTGTGAGAACTTCCAATACTTACTGTATATGCAGAGAATATCGAATAATTTGAATCTTCAATTTATCATGCCGTTATAAATACCAGTCGGTTTAAAGTAGAGACTTCATTGAAAATGTGCACCCACATTGATCTGATTGGAATGTGACATTAGATCAGTAATTAATGACGCGGTTGGTAATTTTAAAACAGATTAGAAAATATTTTTAATTCAATCGATAGCTAATTCAGTCCATAGTACATATTATTTAATCTGATCAGAATTATGGTTTTCTGCATTCAAATACATCTGTTCAAATCCGCTATATCGTCCTGTTGTAGTGGTATGATTTTTGTTGTGTCAGTGGCTCGGTGAGTAAGGCGCTGGCTCAGTAACAATGTAGTCCCGTGTTCGGTACAGGTCTTGACCAAGACAATAATTTTCAGGATTATGCATCGTGGTTCCCATTGGAAATGTCGTAGTCTGGGATACATGTTCATCGGAGCACTCTGCATGGCAGAAACCGGTCTTTATTATCCCGCTTCGTGCAAGACAAAATAGAACGTTAAACCCTATTGCATTTCATTTTTGTTGTTGTTTCAGCTGAAGCAGTCGCTTGCAATCGATGGACAAAGTTCTATAGTCGAGATCTCCCAACTGCCACAGCAGACAATGAAGAACTTGATTTGATTCGACATGAAAACCCCAGAGATAACATCTGTGCAGTACCATCGCGTATTGAGGTTAGAACTGTTGATGGAGTTGATTATAGAGATGCTGGACAAGTTGTAAAGATTGGTCCTACTTTTGGTTTCTTATGCCTGAATGCAGATCAACCTGACGGAACTTGTTTAGATTACAAAGTACGATTCTGTTGTCCATAAAATCTTCACCTGTTATTTTCTTATAAAATATGTAACACTAATTGTTAATGATATCCTAAACCATGTAAAACAAATCTTTATTTCTGAAAAATAAACTTCTGCTAACATGTTCATTTGTAAAAGCCCTATTTTATGTTGATAACTCAAGACATTATCATTTAATGGCGACACGGAATGGGTTTTAGCGTCTAAACACAATACTTCGGTTATTGTAAGACTAACAACACGAGGCGAAGCAATGAAATGGGGTTTAACGTCCTACTCTTCTGCCCCGACTGGGCTAATCGAGGCGGGCATACACAATGCAGTGTGCTAAGAGGGAAACGTTGCCGGGACAGCTGCGCTACGACCCACTTTTATGTCGAATTCCAACTGTCAAGGGATCTTTTATGTGCACGACAATGTGTACACGGTACCTCTGTGTTTCTTCCTATCCGAACGACTAGACAACAGTCCTTGTCAAGCCCTGCGTCCTGCACCACTCACAAGGGGAAACCACGTCGGACGAGGGGAAGCAGTTTGCCCGGACAGCACCGAGGATTCTTTTACTAGCATGCCAATGTATACACGTGCAATGCCAGTCCTAGTCTTGGTAAATGAGATTGTTCTTCGGGAGTCCCTTACCCTACCACAGGGTCCAAAAGCGACCAGATCCACCATAATGACAGTCGGCTATGTGGTTTGTAAACTATAATCTTACAGACGTAGAACTGACCATTAGTCATGAATATTCATCAAGACGTTACAGAAAATGCAAATCCAAACCCTTTCGTAAATGTAGCATTGTCTCGGTAGTTTAATGGTTTAAACAAGTTAACCCTAACTTACAGAAAAGTCACCATAAGATGAGCATGCCCTTGCATAGCATTTCAACCGAAAAATCTCCATTCGCTGAAGGCTAAATGCTATTAATATAACCGGTAAAATGCAATGATCTCCTTTGTCATATCAAATTTGTCATTAATTTTTGGTTTGTGTCAATTTTAGGGAATGTTATGTTATCATTAGGGACAGTAACTCTATCCCAAAATCCACTCCAAATATACCCTCCCTGGAAACACCCACATAGAAACTTATATTATGTCTGTATGTCGCCACCCCATTAGGAACACAATAACTCCGCTTCTAATTGAAGTGGAATGTTCAAACATGGTTTAGATGTGCGTTAGATGAAACTATTGACTGACTTCGCTGATAAAATTTTCTGCTTAAAGTAAGCAGCTGATCGGTGTCTGTATGTCACACCTATGACGAAGAATCTGTGAACAAATATTTGAGCGCTCTTGGCCAGTCTGAGAATGGGGCGAAATAATTAACCTGCACCTTGCGACGAGTTCCACAAGATCATGAATTTTTATTTTGTCTAATTTGTTAATTTTGATTGATGTTTTTCACTTATTCGAAATGGAACATAAAATCCAAGATGGCCGAAATACTCAACAACCAAATCATTTGCTACACAGATCCATTCTCCACACAAGTCTTGCTATCCAGCATTCGACTGTGCAGTCGGTTCGCACACTACACCGGTTGACCTAGAGGTCATTGGTCACGTGATTAACTACATGATGAAAATGACACCTGTCAGAAATTCGAACTCAACCAACATTAAGATGTATCGGTGATATATTGGAACGTTTTTTTTTAATTCGGATAATAATTGTGATCTCTAGAGGGACCACAAGCTACAAACGCGACTTTTCGTACAGCCAGGGGCTTTAATTCAGGAGGTTACTATCTGATATGCGCAAATATCGAAAGGAACCAAGATCTTTGGGATGCATTTCAAGTTTCATCAAAACCAGATGAAAATTGTGACCTCTCGAGTCTAAACATGCTAAAAACGTGATTTGTCGTACAATTAGGAGCCATAATCAATGAAGTTATGCCAATATCGAAAGGAATCGAGATCTTTAGGAGATAGACCTATAGTTCGTCACAATCGGATAAAACTATTGACCTGTAGAGTGTCCACAAACAAATTGTGGACGGACCGACGTTCTAGCGGACAGAGGCGACGGCATAATACGTCCACATAAAGGTGTGCTTATAAAATCGAAACGAAATAGGATCAGTGTTTTAATCAGATTGTTAAATGTTAGGTTCATAATATTAATCTCATTTTTTTGACGAGTTATCCCGCTCTTAAACATGCATTATGCCGCTCTTAAACATGCATTATCCAAGAGCTAAATCTGATTATTGCAAGTCTTAATTTAGGCTTCAGATGTTATAGAAATTATAAATTAGATCTTTATTTAAACAACAAGACCAAAATCAACTCTGTAGACCCACGGATGGCTCGGCTACAGCTCGGATTTAAATAGGATTTCACTAATTGATTAAATCAAATAAGGGGTAACCTGATGAAAATACGTCAGTTAGATCGAGGCTAAATAATAGAGTGTACTTAGCGAGGCCGCTGTAAAGCGTTTCCGTATGCCATTGAAAACTTTACTTGATAATCGAGATATGTAGGTGGAGTTAACGCCTGTCAATCAAACGATCGGCGAAGGTGAAGACGCATTTCGCTACCATTTTTAGTCAAATATTATAATGATATTCTTCTTTCATCATCTACGTTTGAACTGTTATAGCAAGAATGGCCAACTCTCTATAAAAATCTCCCATAATGTATCTTTAAAGTTTCCACTAGCTGTTACACATATTTATTACTGCATAAGAAACTAAGGAATTGGTCCATTGAAAGTTTCCGAACAGTTTCTTAGAAGATTCTTTGTATTTTTGTCGTTGGGAAACTTATAACCAATTTCACGAAGAAATGCATCCGTCTAGACTTTAAGCTAGTAATAAAAAATTAAGGTCTTCTAATAAAAAAAGCAGAGGTAAACTTTAGATTCCTAACAATAAGATAAAAATGGATGTCATCATGGGTGCTCTAGTTGGGCGGAAGGTTGTTATATTCTACACATAGAGAACTATCTACTCTACTTTGAGAATAGATCTCTGTTCTAAATGGCCACCATATCCACCAATTCTTATACTATTTTATAATTCAGTGCTACTCCGATTCACATCTGTTATACTCAAAATGGCCAAAATAAAAAAATGTAAATTTTATTAAATAAAAGCAGAATATATAAATCTCAAAATTCTCGAAATATACTTAGTGTTTTACACTAAAATCGGTGATTTAGGACTTCAACTAGCTTAGTGTCTGTTCTTGAGCAAGGTTATTGTAGACAGACAGTATAAGTTTAGTATGGGTAGGGTACTGGCCTCTCGATTAAAATATCCTGGGTTCGAATCCCGGCTTGAGTCGAGAAGATACATTTTACTTGCCAGAGAGAGAGAGAAGAGAGAGAGAGATGGGTTTAACGTCCACTCGACACAAACTAGGTCATTTCGGGACTAAAATATGGTTAATTTTATTTCATTAATTCGCTTGCGCGTAGGGGTCTTTAGCAGTGGGAGGAAACCGGAGGACCCAGAGAAAACCCACGAGGTTGGACTGGCGACCCTACTCCTTGTCACGTACAACCGGGGAATCGAAACCACGCCAGTTGAGTCAATGACAGGCCTTATGATACAGCACGCACATGCTAACCATTCGGCCATCCAACCCCCCTACTTGCCAGAGCTGGAAAGTGTTCACGTAAAAGAACCATTCAGGTGATATGGATTTTGAAATAAACAATGGGAAACGCCGCCACTGCCCGGGAACAAATGCTTTCCCCCATATTGCACACGTAACTATTGCCATGCAAATGACCGTGTATTTGTCTAAAATTGACCCAAGTATTGTGTTGACTAGACGCTAAAACCCTAACCCTAACGCAGGATTCCAGATAGATGAATTTTCCATTTAAATCACCTCCCCAGCGAACGGATCTGCTTCCCTAGTGGCCTTATCTGCTCAATCGGTATGAACTAATCCTTCGCTACTTGCCTGATATCCCCAACCTTATCTACCGACCTCATCTCCTCAATCAGCTTGAACTACCTCTTCCCGACTGGCCTGAACGCCATCTCTACCGGCCCGAATTACCTCTTCCCGACTGGCCCTGAACGCCATCTCTACCGGCCCGAACTACCTCTTCCCGACTGGCCTGAACTACCCTTTCCCGGCTGACCTAAACCTAAACGCCACCCCTACCGGCCTGAACTACACGTTTTTTCCTGACTGGCCTGAATGCCTTCCCTCCCGGCCTGTATATAGACAACACTGTATGTGATATTTGGGGATATATTGTCATACCTACACGTATTAACTTTATATATTATCATAAAAGGGCTTTTACAAACGAACATGTTAGCAGAAGTTTATTTTTCAGAAATAAAGATTTGTTTTACATGGTTTAGGATTATCATTAACAATTAGTGTTACATATTTTATAAGAGAATAACAGATGAAGAGTTTATGGACAACAGAATCGCACTTTGTAATCTAAACAAGTTCCGTCAGGTTGATCTGCATTCAAGCATAAGAAACCAAAAGTAGGACCAATCTTTACAACTTGTCCGGCATCGCTATAATCAACTCCATCAACAGTTCTAACCTCAATACGCGATGGTACTGCACAGATGTTATCTCTGGAGTTTTCATGTCGAATCAAATCAAGTTCTTCATTGTCTGCTGTGGCAGTTGGGAGATCTCGACTATAGAACCTTGTCCAATGGCAAGCGGATGCTTCAGCTGAAACAACAAAAAGATGAAATGCAATAGGAGGGAGATAGATAGATAGAGAGAGAGAGAGCGAGAGAGAGATAGAGAGAGGTGGGGTTTAACGTCCACTCGACATCATATAGGTCATTTCAGGACTAACATATATTTCAATGTTATTTCCATTCGCTTGCCGGAGAAAACCCACGAGGTTGGGCAGGCGCCCCTACTCCTTGTCACGTACAACCGGGGAATTGAAACCACGCCAGTTGACTCAAAGACTCAGGACGATATAGTGGATTTGTAAAAATGTATTTGAATGCAGAAAATCATAATTCCGATCAGATTAAATCATTTAATGGAGGGGATCACGTGGCTAAGTGGGTAAGACGCTGGCTCGCTAGCCTGGAGGTCGGGTGTTCGATCCCTGCATTAGCCGAGAAAGTTCATCCCGATTTTCCGGCGTGGTTTTCCCTTGTCAGTGATGCAGGATGGAGGGCCTGACAAGGACAGCTGTCTAGTCCTTCGGAAGAGAAGAAAAACCGAGGTCCCGTGTATCGTTGGAATGCACGTAAAAGATCCCTTGGCAGTTGGAAGTCGATATAAGAGTAGGTGATAGTGCCGCTGCCAGGGCAAAATTTCCCTCATAGTACACTGTATGGCGTATGCCCGTCTTCATTAGCCTTTCTAGGAGCAGAACAGTAGGACGTTAAACCCCATTTCATTTCATTTAATGGATTGAATTGAAATATATTAAATATCGATTGAATTGAAATTATATTTTAATCTGGCATTAATTACTGATTGAATATCCAATTCATTTCTAAACAATGTCGGGGTGCATTATCAGTACAGCTTCTATTTTATAGCCTCTTGTCAAGATTTGAATCCTACGTCCTCTTCCATATTGTGAAAGTCCCATGTCTGCCGTGAACATCAAAAATGATTCAATTGCTTTCCGTGTTTACAGAGATAATATAAATTGAAGATTCGCAACATTCAATATTAGCTGCATATAAATATACATTATTAATATCTGAAGACGCCCATAGAAGGCAGACAGCTAGCTTATTTGATTTAATGTAGTGTCAGTATGAAGTCAAGTGGAGAATTTTTTACCTGGACGTACTTTATATTTATTTATATTAGGAGTATTAGGAGTCGGCATAGGTAACTATAACATGAATACGAACTCAAAGATTACCCCATTCCCGAGTAAGCTTCCGTTACTCGTATCTGAAAGGTGCATTCAATTCACAATCAATACAAAACAATAAAATAAATTTCAAAAATTTAACTACAACATACCTGCGTGGTTGTAAACCACAACAGCAAGAACTAAAACTGCAAAAACTTTCATTTTTAGTATTCTGTGATCAGTTACGATTTCAGGAATGTCAGATACAATTCTTATTGGTCTTTTATAGCGGGTCCAAACTGGCAAGGCGTGGTTAGTCATTGCAAAAACACGCCCCTGTAGGATTAATCGTTCGTAATGCTGGCATAACGTCATCTGATTCTCGTACCAAAAGTAACAGATGGGCCAAATCAGATAACTTCAGAGGCGGATCGAGGTTCTGATGAGACATAATATAGGCAGGTCGACCAGCTGTAATCGAAATTTCCCGTAGTTATTATATCTGTCTCCTTTGGTGCTGTGATCTTTTGTATTATAATTTCATTCTGATTATTTTATACTTCTATTCACTCCTCTCTTTTATTTGTTATGCTATCATCTATTGTATTATATTTTTCATGAAGGGCAGGAAGGTAGAAAGGCTCCCACAGCCTAATCCTTTACCTTTCTTAAATAAAGATATTATTATTATTATTATTATTATTATATACAGAAATAATTCGTCTATTATATCAGTCGACAATCAATTGATGCCCAGAGCCAAGTATACAACCCAATCTGATTAAAAAACAGATCCTATTTCGTTTCGTTTTTATAGTTCAAAATTTCGTTTTACTTGTCTTTACTACACTAGGATCTGGAAGAGTTGTTATCATTGACGTGTTCTGAATTGTGTTGGGGATTAGCCAATGGAACGGTCTGTTACGGCGAGCTTAAGGCGTGTTTTGCACGGAACTGTGGATAATCCACTAGTGACATCAATGCAGATTGGTTAATCGGTTAGTCTGGCGTCATATGGTCAAAAGCCGCCCGTATGACTCTGTCTCGACCTATCGCTACAACCGGTCAGATCTTCTTGTAGTGTAGGCCATCAAAGGTATAAAAAAAATGAAACGAAAAATAGATCTGTATTTTAATCAGGTTGGTATACAACTTCTAATCCTCATTTCTTAAAAGAAGAGAAATCTATAATCTGTAACAAAGATTCGCCTCATTTCAGTCCACTATTTGCTGACCACTCCGGCGTTTATCCCTTTCAAAACAGACAATTCAGTGCCATTTGCCCTACTGAACTTATGGTGAGGCGTTTCATTAATTTTAGACGTGAAAAGAGTCTTTCCGTCGAAGTATTGGAAACTATCATACTGAGACAAATCTTGAGAACTATTTTCACGTGTGAGATAAAGCACGAGAACACGTGGGATACCGGCCTCGGTTTTTCTTATTCTTGGGTTATTTTCTTCAGTCTTTCTTCCCCAGCATAACCGAAGTCGAGGACTTTATCTAGCTTATAAACCGTTTATGTTTACATGTACGCAGAATTCCCATAAGAAAAACCTTAGATCATGTTTCTTATGGGAAAAAACCTACCCTTGAAGAATAACCTTTAACTTTGGTGTATGAGCTGTCCTACATTATTTGAATTAACAGTTTATTTCATCTGGTTTTACATATTTATAATAATTTTTCTTTCCCACATTTCTGAGTGCAAGGTATACTTGAGTCTTGGGAGCACGTCACTGTTCACTTGTTCCCTATATCATTTGTTTTTGTTTTAAACATACACTATGTTAGAATTAAATCTACCTATTGCCGGTCTTTCTTTAGGCCTGAGATGTTATCTAAATTATGAATTAGACATTTATTAACAAAACAAGACCATAATCAACTCTCGATGTCATTGCTAGCCAGCGATATTTACTGAATTTGAATCTGGTCTGCTGCTCAACGCTTATTGATATTTAAATCCGAAAATGGATAATCGAGACTATGCTTTTTAGCCTACCGACTTTAGTAATGATGATCGAGGTTAGGTCTAAAAATTCAATCGCTAAATTCTCGATTCAGAGTAGATAAATTTGACTGAAATTTCAACAAATTCCCTTTACATTATCTAGTTTTAAACTAGTATAGTGAGAACTATCAGCTCTTTATCTAATCTCCTATAATGCTGTGTCTTACATACATCACAAAAATTGATGACGTTTTAAACCGTATTAGTGTAAATGTAAGTGTAAATGTAAAGTTGCGAAACCTCTCTAATGGCCATTTCGTTTCATTTAGTACTCTATATGGTTTGTAATGTACAAGATAGATTCCAGCCGAACTTTTGAAATAATTTGCTTGGGTTGTAATTATTCCTGTTATTTAATGTTGCCAGGTAACAAAGCGTGACTTACAGACATAGACATCTATAAAATTTTATAACCAGTTTTATTCACGGTTTTATGAAGAGATATGTATGACGACATATGGTCTATATACCCATAAAAACGTCTATTTTCATGGTTTGTTGGACTATTTGCACTATTTTGGTTTCGAAAGCGGGCAGATGTGGGTTTAAAGGAACTAAACCTATAACTCAATAGCACCCATAATGTTAGAAATTAAAAACACAAATTAGACTTCAAAATAATTGGCCTATTTTAATCAATATGGATGTTATCTTACCGTGAAAATATGGGATTCGAATATTCAATATCTAAAAATATTTAAAATCGATCGTGTACTCTACGGACAAAATGATTACGAGCGCCATTTGTAAAGAACTAAGAAAAACATCTCACGAAGTCAGTGCGGAATTAGTTAAAACTTGCTGATTCACAAACGACAAAATAATATGAATTATAGTAACACAACGTGTAGATTGGACTAAGTAGGCATAAACGACTGACGCTCACTTTGAATTGTTGGAACATAAAAACTTGAATATAAATCACGAGAGAGAGAGAGAGATTGGGTTTAACGTCATTTCGGGACTAACATAATCTGGTTTAATTTTATTTCAATAATTCGCTTGCGCGTAGGGGTCTTTAGCAGTGGGGGGCCATCCAATCCCCCAAGTCACTAAAGATACAGTAATATTATATTGATATTTATTTTTAGACACATTTTCGTCTATTTTAAGGTTCCAAAGAAAAGTGCTATACGTCCTACAATCTTCCACAATTAATGTTTCTTGAGTTTTTTTTAGTTGATTTCTGTGTTGCTCTTTTCTTTAAGGCAAGTGGAACATTGTACGGAAGCCCATATACGAATTATTTCTTGGTTTTTGTATTTCTTATTTTCATTTTAAATAATAATTTTTAATTTCTAATTTTGTAATTTCTAATTTTGTAATTTGATTTTCAATTTTATAAATAACATTTAAATTGTATAAATTAAGACCAGGTTTCTCATTAATTTGGTACAATGAGTGGTGTATATTGGGCCTAAAACTGAGCCCTGGGCACACCGGAGCTCAGAATTCACCTAAGTTCATTTTCCGTATATGGTTTCGTGCGTCACCCATAAACTTTTTCCGGGTCTGTCTTCATTAACCCAGTCTGAGCAGAACATTAGGACGTTAAACTCTATTTCATTTCATTTCCTTTTCCAGGTGACTTCCAGATAGCGTCTTGCTTTGGATTCAAACTCCGGCCATTGATTTTGTCTCAATATAAAGTCTGAGATGTCATCCTCGATGGAGTAATGGATGATTACCTGGTTGTCCGAACAACTACTATGTGTTTCAGCTGGATGGGGCTGCAAACACACAAGCAGACTGACTTAGATCTATTGCGAGGATGCCACACCCCAAATGAAGTTATAAACTATAAACATTATGAGATTTGTTGCTTAACATAATTATCTAACTATTTAATATGCATGAGATCGGTTTATATGCATGAAATCAATTAATATTCATTAACTCTATGATAACTGAATATAACAAATCAGCTATCTATTTCAATATATAATGAATTATATTAAACTTGGCAATTAAAATGAGATATCAGTTTGTTGTAATATGTGTAGAATAAATATACATATCTATATAATATGGAAGATCATTAATATACGTCTATGACTGAATGTTTATTCGTATAAATTGTTAAAGTAAGTGCAGGAGGACCGCACATCACATAAACAAATATATAATACAAAACAAACCATGGACATAACACACAATATATACAGCAATTTCAAAGAAAACACGCATAAATCAAATCAAGAACCGCGGTGGCTCAGTGTGTAAGTCGTTGGATCGTTAACCTGAAGGTCCCGTGTTCGATCCTGGTGTTGGTCGAGCCATGCCTCCATGTCAATTGTGTAGAACCTGGTTCCAGTGTATACGTAAAAGAGCCCTTGGCAGTTGGAATTTTGTCAGTGCAAAATTTCCCTCATAGCACACTGTGTGGCGTTAGCTACGAGAACGTAGCTAAAAACATTGAGATATACTGATGTGTTTGTTTTTAGCTACGATTGGATGCCTTTAGTTCCAAGTGGCAAATTCCGTTTCTTTATTAAAACACATAACATCTTAAAAATAAGATAATTTTATACTATTATGAACAATTAAACTTACAGAGGCCAGTGTAGTGGCACAACTATCGCCTAACTCCAAATATTCGCGTTTAAATTAATGAAGCGTTGTTTTTATCCGACATACACCGTCATACATCTACCGTTCAAAAATTACGTTCTTAGTAACGGCTTAACGTCTCGATTTTAAACACGATGGTTTATACCCGTTTCAGGTAGGATTATATGTTTTATTGTAGTTGGATGTGTCAGCAATATTATACTATTCAAAAAAAGTAGGGGATATTTGATTTTTAAGTGTTATTAAAGTCACCTAATGAAACTGACGAAGAAACAAATGACAAAATGAAATGAAGTTCACATTCATCGATTTATTCCAAATGATCGTTAGACTAAGTAAGGCACAGACTGACCATTATAAGGGTAAAATGATACCCGGGGTCAAACAGCAAAGTTACCACAGCATCACAACCAAGTCAGTAACGGGTAAATCCTCCTCTGTTTGCCAAACAAGCATTGATCCGACGTGGCATACTCCTAATGAGACGTCTAAGGTCATTTTGGTCCAGATTGTCCCATTCCTGTTGCAACGCAGCAGCAATTTCTTGGACATTGGCAGGACGTTGTTGACGTTGACGTAACCTCCGCCAAGCATGTCCCAGACATGCTCGATGGGGGAGAGGTCGGGACTCAGTGCTGGCCAAGGTAATGTGGTGATGTTCTGTTGTTGGAGTTAACCTGTAACGATCCTGGCCCTGTGACATCTTGCGTTGT